GTTGCAGCATCTTCACCTGGAAGGCGACTGATGGTGAGGATGAAATCTGTCTAAGATCCGTTGCCAGTGAACCTCAAGGGGACCCCCGACATGGACTGAGAAGCAAACTTGATGAGGAGCTTTGGAGCTTGATTTGGTTTCTGCTGGCGCCAGTATAAGTTACTGCTAATGCCCTAACTGACCCAGCAGGTGATGGTGACTTTCTCTCCTGGAGTCCCAGACAGAAAGGCTGGGGATGGGTCAGCACAATATTACCCCTGGAGGCTAACAACACACAGAAAATACTAACATGCCATAACGGTATGTGTATCAAAATCACCACTAATCTAGTTAGACAAGGAGGAAGCATATGCATTACTTTTTATAAATTCACATTAAAAAGCATGCTAAATTTCATAAGAGGCAGAGTTCTTAATGAAAAAAAAATCACTGATTGAAATAATGGTCCCACTTTTAGCTTTGTCCACATACTCTCACCCGGAACACAGAGCAGCAGAAACCCCAGGAGTTGCCATGGGGACATCTCGCTGGCTGCTTTTGACTTGCAAGTTTTGCTTCAGCCACATCTCAGAGAAAAAACCTCTTATAGATACTGAGAGGTGGGACCACTTTAGATGTGAGAGGAGGGATACATGCAAATTATGGGGCTTTCTTACTGGTTTAAATACACAGACATCACCGTTGCCAGGAGATCGCCCTCCCCGCCCCTTCCATGAGTGTGAGAAGCGCCCTCTGCTGGCACCTGCAGACGCATGGTGCTGAGGTTCTGACAGGGCTTGACCAGACCCTCCGCCCAGCTGCAGAGTGAAGACAGAGTCCATCGCAGTCTCTGGTAGGTTCTGCAGTCATCTGGGGTGAACAGGAGCTCATATCCTCAATCTCGGCCCAGGGCTACATTAACTCCCCTGCTCTCTGTCACAATATAGGCCGAAGAAACCTTGATCCTGTGGACCTTTCACAAACCAACACCCCGCACAACAATATGTTGATGAGATCATGCAATAAGCAGAAAATAATATGGATTCTCACTATACAATGAAGACACCTGAGGAACAGAAGATAAGATTCATCGCTACAAATTTAAGGGCCTGTCTCATTGGGGAAGATATCAGGGATTTAGAGAAGGGGAGTGAGTCATGCTGATCATTCCTATCAAAGGAAGGGAAAATAATTTCGTCTTGCACCTCCAACCAATGAGAACAAACCATAGTGTTGGCAAGCCCACCCTGTAGTGTTGTCACAACACATTCCACGCTTGGATCTACTACACCATCTTGTTTATCAGCTTACTCGCAAGGCTGTCTGTTTGGAGTGGGCTCAGAGAATGAGAAGTTCTGTCCTAAGTTCAGGTTCTGATACAGGTGGCTCTGTTGCTTGGGTCGTGTGATCCAGCACATTGCTTGGGTTAGATGCATCTGTATTAGATGAGGACACTGTGAACTCTCTTGCCAGCTCCAAAATAGAATCACAGCGTCAGTCTCTGGGGTTCTAGGGTAGGACAGTGTAATGCCCAGAAAACAAACAAACAAACAATTTTCTGTTTAAAATGCAGCTCTCAGAATATCTCAGGGCCCTAGTAGATGTGCACATGAGGCAATAGGTAACTATGTGACTGAGCTGCCCCTCATCCACTGGGAATTTTAGTCTCAAAAATTTATATGTCCAGGTGATGTTCAGAACTACTCAGTATTACCATGGAGTTTGCACTTTCAGAATTGGGTGAAAAGAGATTCAGAGAAAGCATGCTTCACTTAGAATGACAGGTGTTCCAGTTTCCCATATAACTTTCCTCTCTTATGCTAATGTTCAATGACCTCATGGATTTTCCCATTCAGCTAATGCCAGAGGGGAAACACATAAAAACAAAAACAAACAAACAAAACCACAATGACAAAGAAAAAAGCTAGGCTTCTTCTTGAATGAATCTACACCATACATTCGTGTAAATAGGAGTGAATTCCTCCCACACTATGGCCACCATCATGGGTGGCTGTGAAATATTACCTGGAGTCAGAAGGTAGCTGAGCAGGACACACGGTAATCAAACTAACGTGAATAACGAAGTGTGAGTTAATTATATACATGGATTCCTGGGAAGCTGGTTGGCCAACATCCTAGAAAACGGATTGGAAGATCAGAGACAAGAAGCCCTAGAGAAGAGACATGTCAATGCACTCATGGGAGTAGGAAATTATGTGTGCAGAAATTTGTTATTGTATCAAAACAGCAGAGAATGTCTGCCATAGGTGAAACAACAACAAACAATCCATGCTCATGAATCATCCACCTTTACACAGGTTAACCGAACCTAGACTCTTCCCTTAACTCCCACAGTATTTGCATAAGAATTGTTTATACAAAGCAGCTGTGGTGACCTGGAGTGCACATGTGCAACACATGAGCCGTGACTTTCCATCACTATCTGCACCAGTGCTGATCCAACTGTTGCCACTTCTGGGACTTCTCAGCAGCAGAGGCAAATAACCATCAGAAATTTGGTGATAATTTGGGATATTAGATCACTTTCCCTGGAGGTGGCTGTAACACATTTGTACTAGGATTCTTCTGTGTTCTAGATAAATGTTTGCCTTTTCTGCTCACCTATAATTGACTATTACCATGTTTAGAGTCTGTATGTGTTATTGATATGGGAATATTTCATAATCGGGGCACTAAAACGTAGAGAAAGAAATGAAATAATAGACACATGATCATGGCATCTATTGGTCCTATCAAATACTTCACCCAAGGAAGTCCATGTGGGTATGACCTTATGACCTTCTACTGACTTCAGATACTCTCCTTCAACATGTGCTGAATCTTTTTTTTTTTTTTGAGACAGAGTCTCGCTCTGTCACCCAGGCTGGAGTGCAGTGGCCGGATCTCAGCTCACTGCAAGCTCCAGAATCTTTAAACTGATGACCATGTTAACATGAAGCAATGGTTTAGGAAGTCATAGGTCAGAAGTAGGAGGAAACTCTCTTATGATTCACAGGAACACAGCTGGGTTACATGGGTTTCCAGTCATGCAATTTTAGACCTTGCTGACCACAGGGCCTGGTACAAAGGAATGAATGCCTTTACATGTATCCTCAAGTACAATATATAGAATACTCTAAATTGAAACTCAAAGCTATGGTGATGCAGGGTACCCCCATGCCAACACACACAAGGACAACCAAATAATTACCTATTTCAGCAAAGTTAAACAGTAAACCTATCATGAAGTGATAGTTCTCTGTTCCTTATATGGTGACAGGAGTATGTCAGGGAATATGTCTGGACTGAAAGATAGTGAAGAACACATGTCAAAATCAGATGATGATTATCCTCAAATTAATATAAAGTAAAACTAGGAGTCATTAAAACAAAACAGATAAAATAAAACATTTTTAAATAAATCCAAGACTGATATGTGACCCAGTTTTGGCTCCAGCTCTTCCAGAAGATAACAGGCTCCAGAGCTCAACAAATGCATGCTTATGTTTTTAGTTTTGTACCAGCAACTTGTGTCATATGTGCTCATTTTCTGTGTCAGACCTTAAACTACAAATCAACCTTTTCAAAGTAACCCCGGCCACATACTGGGACTCACGGGGATACCGGCACTTCTGAGCATCCACCTTTCCAAGAAGAATAACCTAAGATTATAACAGACATTAAGGATCATGTCTAATAGCTGGTGTCAGGTGTTTTTAAAAGGCCTCATCCAGGCCGGGCGCGGTGGCTCAAGCCTGTAATCCCAGCACTTTGGGAGGCCGAGACGGGCGGATCATGAGGTCAGGAGTTCGAGACCATCCTGGCTAACACGGTGAAACCCCGTCTCTACTAAAAAATACAAAAAAACTAGCCGGGCGAGGTGGCGGGCGCCTGTAGTCCCGGCTACTCGGGAGGCTGAGGCAGGAGAATGGCGTAAAAACCCGGGAGCCAGAGCTTGCAGTGAGCTGAGATCCGGCCACTGCACTCCAGCCTGGGCGACACAGCGAGACTCCGTCTCAAAAAAAAAAAAAAAAAAAAAAAAAAAAAAGGCCTCATCCAACATGAGGAGGGCGGTTGTTTTCCTGTACATGCATTTGTCTTTCTTGTCAGTTATATTTCTGCATGAAATATTATTTGAGGATTTTCCAAGTGCTTTCATCACAGTTAAGAAATTCTTCCATAATATGGCATTGAATCAGGCAACTTATTTACAAAAAAAATAAAAAGTAAGGCAAAGTGTGCAGCTCATGATCTTATCACCTGCACAGGTGCAGCTGTCTCTACAGAAGGAGCACCGTAGAATCCCCTGTTTCTAGTGTGAAGCTTCCCGACTTTTATATGTTGGACTTTAAAAGTTTGTAATGCGGAAGTTCATCATAGGAACTGGGTCATTCCTGCGATGCTCACCTAAAACAAAGTCAAGAAGCCAGGGTGAAAAAGCACTCAGGATATGAAACACTGCTCCCAGAATGTAATTCTCTGTGAGCCTGACTGCTTGTTGTAACCTGAAACTAGTTTTATCTACATCTTCTCAGATAACTTGCTAAAACTCAAGGACTAATTTTGCCCACTACCATTGCTGACCAGTCTCAGTTGCCAGCTCCAACCCTTACTTGTGCCACTTAACTTTCTCAAAGGGTAATACCTAACATTTTTCTTTATTTTTAATAAAACCTCTTCTATTTGTTCCTCTGACATATGTAAGACCACCAGGTCTTCCTGTATGCTCCATATTGCAACTCTGTCTTCCCAAAGAAAGCAATAAATGTAGAGATGAATCTCTACATTTTATTTTGACTTCAACAATAGTTCAGACAATTCTCTGTATTCTAATAATTCCTGCTTAGAATATCTATAGTGACTTTTCCTTTGCTGTATGAATCTCAATTGAGTCCATAAAACAGAATCCTCATGTGTAATCATTTCTATCCTTCATTAAATCTGCATCTGAGGAACACTTCCAGCCGATAGAGGCACCAGGAGGAGCAGCTGGGGCAGCCCAGCCTCACACACCTGCTTCCCTGGGAGGTTTATGTTTAGGTGTGTAACACTGTGGGAGGGTCACTGTAATACTGTTGACAGTAATAACTAGCAATATCTTCAGGCTGCAGGCTGCTGATGGTGAGAGTGAAATCTGTCCCAGACTTACTGCCACTGAACCTCGAAGGAACCCCAGATTGCAAACTGGATGCACTATAGATCAGGAGCTTAGGGGCTTTCCCTGGTTTCTGCTGATACCAGGCTAAACTACTACTAAAGCTCTGACTTGCCCGGCAAGTGATGGTGACACTGTCTCCTACAGATGCAGACAGGGAGGATGGAGACTGGGTCATCTGGATGTCACCTCTGACTCCTGAGATTGGAAACATAAAAACAAATATGCAGACAATTAATCATGTTATAAGGCCTTCCCTGAATGGCTAGGCAATATTGACCACACTAGGCTGAGTAAATTGCTAATGCTTTTCCTTACCTGAGAGCCAGAGCAACAGGAAGCCCAGGAGCTGAGTGGGGACCCTCCTGTCCATGCTGTGTCCTGACTGGGACTGACTCCTGCACAGGGTGTGACCAACCCATTAATAAGTCTTCAGGGCTGTGGGCTGTGACCCGGGAACATGCAAATCAACAGGAGATGGGGCAGGTTGGGCACAGCTGCAGGGGTTGGTTCTCAGTAACTCAGCATAGGTTCAGTGTCCCCAGTGTCCCAGCTCAGACCAGGATAGCACAGATTTGTCTGCAGAGATTGTGTTTCTTCCTGGAGACCATTTCATAAGAAACATTTTTGAAATAGTTGTCAAAATTAGAAATATTCCTGAGGACTAGCTGGAGTAATGTATTTTATTGGTGTATTGGGCCTGTTTAGGAGAATATCTTGTTTATAGGGAACACTTTGAAACTGCCTCTGCAAAAATTGTAACTGAGGAAATTATGACAATGAAAGAGATCAGACCTAAACGACTCCATGTTCCTTCTAACCTAATCTTTAAGCTGTCCTTATGCATTCCTGGAAATGGGCTGAACTGACCTAGGGAAGGAATTTAGTTTATAGTTTGACTCTGAAACAAAATTGATAATAGCCCTTTCCTGAAAAGACACCCTTCTTGCCCTAGGATCAGTTTGCTTTTGTAGGACTTACAAATTAGCTTCAAGATTAGAAATTACGGTTTAGGGGTCAAGTAGCCTCTGGCTGCAAGACTCTGAACCTCCCCAAATTGCTCCTGGGGATAACATCACTGTTGTAAAACCTAAGAGATTAGTGCTGGAGACATTTTGCAGACGCTGCACTTGCTTGGTCAGCTGACACTACCCAGACAGGTAATCTGAATCAACCAGTTCAGTGATCCCATCCAGGAATGGACGACTGCAAGAAAACCTCACTTCAACCACCGCCACACCCACATGATCCCGTCTTCAACCTGACCAATCAGCACTCCAATTCCCAAGCCCCTACCTGCCAAATTATCTTTTAAAACATCCCCAAATATTCTAGGAGACTGATTTGAGTACTAATAAAAGTCCAGTCTCCCACACAGCCAATTCTTCGCGAATTACTCTTTCTCCATGGCAATTCCCCTGTCTTGATAAATCAGCTCTGTCTAGGCAGCAGGCATGGTGAATGCATTGGGAGGTTACAACATGGTAAAGTGTTAGAGGGTGGGGTCATCAGGTCTTCAGTATAGTCTCAAATGTTTCCAGTTACAGGAGGGGGTACTTTGTGCTGTACTTGCAACTTTTTTTATGAATGTAAAATTGTTCCTTTCTTTTAAAATTTAAAAATAAAATGTATCAAAATAATGCTGAATTACTGAAAATATCTTGTAATGCTATTAAGCCATGCTTCTTTCCAGCATAAGATTAAGCAACTTACTGCAGATACGCAAAAATGGCAGGCTGTTTCCTCAATGCATGGGTCCCTCAGAGATCCATCATTATTCAGAGCTATAGGTGTCTTTAAAACCCAGAGTCTGAATTAGTTGCACCTTAGTCTTGGTTTGGGGACTTCCATATTCTCCCCTTTTCTGCTATTGAATATTGTTTCCCACAGTTCATCAGCATGAAAGGCTGAATAATGATGCAGATCTGATTACTTCAACGAAAGTCACTGTATTTGCCTCCAACTGTAGAAGCCTGGCCTAGGATAAACTTGAACCCCTGGGTTAATAAAGGCTCCAGTGATAATTATCTCCAACGTAGAAAGATAAAGATCATATTCCCCGGCTAATGCTATGAGCTGCACTTTCCACCAGCATGTTCCTGAGGACTCAGAAGCAGCTCTCCTGGAACCTGGCAGTTGAGGGAGAGGGCCTGGGGAAACAGGCCAGGAAACTCTCCCTCCAAACAAGGGCAGCTGCTGCTCTGTGCATGTCCCTGTCATGCACCATCAACACCACTTTCCTTTTTTACTCTTCAGCAGTGAGTGAGGACATCATCCTGACCCAGATGTCAGCCTCCCTCTTGGTGTCTTTAGGTAAGAGAGGCTCCATCTCCTATCAAGCAATTTCCCATGTACACGGATAAATCACTCAAATCCAGATAAAACTGAACACCCATTTTGTCTTACATCTCCAAAGTTGCCAAAAGCATCGCGACCTGGCTCAGCAGCAGGGGAAGTGGACCCAACTGCATCAGTACAAGTGGGCTGTAGCCTTGGGCTCCAGGGAGCAATACTGATGCCCAACTATGGGAGTCAAATTATAGTGCTGTAGCCTGTGCACAAACTTTTCTGCTATCTTGTAAGCAGCCTGAATTTTAAGGGAAGGCACCTGTGTAAAGGGGAAAGAAAGAAAGTGTTTTCTGTCCTCTAAAGGTTTGGTGAGAATAAACGGACAAAAGACAGATTCATAGGAGAAAAAAGACAGTTTATTTAACACGCAGGGAAAAATCACAGAATTATCACCCAGATAATACAGTGAGTTCTGGCTGCATATACATCCTTCATAGGTGAGAGGGAAGTGGAGAGTGCAGACAACTTAAGGAGAATAAATGACCTAAGATTTTTTTTTTTTTTAAGTGGACCTTTAAAAGAATAGGTAATAGGATGTCTGGAAAAAAGTGTCAACTTTCAGTCACTTCTAAGTTTGACTTCTCTTGAGTACTAATCTTCTCTGATATAAAAATTCCCAGAGAGGATTTTCTTGACAATTGTTTTTCTCCTGGAGAATCTGACTTTAGACAGATAAGGGAGATGTAGGGAAAAGCGCCTTTGTGCATTTGTTGTTTTCTAAACGTTTTCAGTCTGAAATAATCATCATACCATGTAGCATTTTAAGAGATGTTACTTCCTGTAATCCTTCACTTGCAAACTACCTGTCAAGATCCTGTTCCAGAGAGATGCAGCTCCAAATTGAAAGTACACTTGACCCTTGGACAACATGGAGGTTGGGTCACTAACCACTGGTGCAGCAAAAAATCTGTGTATCACTTTGGGATCCCTAAAACTTAACTACTAGTAGCTTATTGTTGACTCAGTGATAATATAGTAGATTAACACGAGTTTTTATGTTGTATTTATAATATACTATATTCCTAAAACAATGAAGTAAGCTGGAGAATGGAAAATGTTATTTAGAAAACCGTAAGGATGAGAAAATATATTTACTACTTATTAAGTGCTTGCTCCCTCACAGGTGGCATAGGCAGAAGAAAATTTAACTGTTGATGGAACTGTAACTTTTAAGCCCATGTTGTTCAAGGGTTAACTGTACATGTGTTTTTTCCTTGATGAATGTAGCAGTCCCTGTCCGTACTCTAGGCCTTTTCCCTTCACTGTCCCTCTACTGACTTCCAGTGGCCACCTATGTGTCTTCTGTTATCTGATCCTGGAGAAGGCAACTCTGCCTGCATGCACGGCTGGACAGAGGGCCTGGAATGAGGATCCACCCTCATGAATGGGTTAATGCCACCATAAACAGGGACAGTGGGAGTGGGCTCCTTCTCTCTCTTCTGCTCTCCTGTCATGCCGGGATATGATCTTCCTTCCTTCTAGAGGAACTCAGCATTCAGGTTGCCATCTTAAACTAGATAAAGCAGAACCTAACCTGCCTGTGCCTTGATCTTTGACTTCCCATCCTCCAGAAATGTGACAGAACAAATTTCTGGTCTCTATGAATTACCCAGTGATGGAGATTATGTTATAGTAGTTCAAAACAGAATAAGAAATTTGTGAGGACAGAAGGAAGTGTATACATATCCCAGCTCCCTCCCCTCTCAGGTAGAACAGCCAGAGGAATTTTCTCCATGTTTCTATATGGAGCTGAGCCACAGTCATCCTAAGATTTAGGTGGCTTGTTGACGTGTCTTTCACCATCCATCTTTTCCTTGACCAACCTATTTTAGATTTAATTTGCGCAGTAATTTATTTTTTCTGGTGTAAAGCAAAATTTGAATTTTAGGCATCCCCCAACTGACTGAATGGACCCCCTCCTGGCCAAGGGAACCTCAAGGAAACATAAAAGACTAGTTTAGATCATATTGGGAAGGGGGTGTTGGCCATGCCTCATCATATCCTCCTTCCTTTGTAGTTCAGACACAATCAACCAGTATTGCAATTAAAACAGAGATCTTAAAATTGACAAAGCAGACTCTCTGTAGCAATAGCACACCAAATTCCAACATGACTCTGGTATAGCATCATATGAAAGTTAATAGGCCCTGAAGAAAATCACAGTATTTTACCCCAACACATATTTCTTTGACATATTCCGAAATGGCCTTACAAAGTTGTCACTTGTAGGAAAAAAAATTGCATTTTGTAGAGAATCTCCTCCCCTCACTGGATCTTTTGCTGGAGAGTGTGACAACTTTTAAGTTTTGACAAGAGATATTCACCAGCTATTCTCTCTGAAACCTGCTATGTGGAGGCTTCATCTACATGACAAGAATTCTGGCTTCCACATCCTCTTTATCTAAACTCAAGCATTTCTTTATGAGGAATTTAACTCTTCAGGCAGAGCTTAACTCTTTCAACAAATTGCCAGTCAGGAAATCTTTGAATCCACCTATGACCTAGAAGTCCCTGCTTCCAGATGTCTGGCCTTTCTAGGCCAAACCAATGTAAACCTTACATACACTGATTGATGCTTTTGCTTGTAACTTCTGTCTTCCCTAAAAGCATAAAACCAAGGTGTAACCCAACCATTTTGAGCACATGCTCTCAGGACCTTCTAAGAATGTGTCACAGGCCATCATCCTTAACTTTGGCCAAACAAAACCTGTAAATTGATTGAGATCTGTATCAGATACTGTCTGGTTTACACTGGGTTACAAAAAAATCCTCTAAAACTATCTACACATCAAGAACTCAAAATTAGAGACAGTGGAATGAAGATACTCCAACATTTAAAACCCACAGATTAGATAGCATTGAATGTAAGATTTTCTCCAGCTCTCTTGCTTCATATATGTGCCTTGTAATTTTTAAAAATTCTACATTAGAGAAGAACAATTTGGGGGAAGATATTTATTGTCCATGAAATGGAAAATGCTCTCATCCCAAAGTATGTCCATGTCCTAGTCTCTAGAACTTATGAACTCTACCTTACATAGTAAAAAGGGATTTAAT